TGACCTACAGAACCTCACTGACCTACAGAACCTCACTAACTTACAAAACTTCACCAACCTACGGAACCTCACTAAACTACAGAACCTCACTGACCTACAGAACCCCACTGACCAACAAAACCTCACTGACCTACAGAACCCCACTGACCAACAAAACCTCACCGACCTACAGAACCTCTCTGACCTACAAAACCTATCTGACCTACAGAACCTCACTGACCTACTGAACCTCAATGACCTACTGAACCTCACTGACCTACAGAACCTCACTGACCTACAGAACCTCACTGACCAACAAAACCTCACCAACCTACAGAACCTCTCTGACCTACAGAACCTCACTGACCTACAGAACATCACTGACCAACAAAACCTCACCAACCTACAGAACCTCTCTGACCTACAGAACCTCACTGACCTACAGAACATCACTGACCAACAAAACCTCTCTGACCTACAGAACCTCACTGACCTACAAAACCTCACTGACCTACAAAAACTCACTGACCTACAAAAACTCACTGACCTACATAACCTCACTGACCTACACAAGGCTAGGTGAGTGAACAAGGCCAGGCTGATTCTGGCAGATCCTGATCATCACTCCATGGTGAGTTCAGGTTGCTTCCATCTGGACGCAGGTATCTGGTAACTGCCCACACGTAGGACATGTCCTAATGTCCAAAAGGATATGACTCCGTGCCCTGCCATTGGCTCCCTTCCGCTCCTCCAAACTTCTCATTGATCATCTTGATCTGCTCCCGGACTGATCCAGGTCCTGATGGTGAACCGGGTCAGGGTTAGAACTGCTGTGTAGAACTGAATAAAGTTTGATTCAAAATGAGGACAAACCGGTGTCCATGTCCAACAGCTGGAGCTCATCTCCTCGAGGCTTCTCAAAGTAGGTGTGTCTCCTGCTCTTACTGTCCTCCTCTCTGTCTTTGTCCCGCTCCCGGTGCCGCTCTTTGTCTCTGCTGGGTTTGGAGCTGGACGTGTTTGACGGAATGTAGTCCCCGATGTCATCAAAGATCCTGAAACAACCAGAGACGTGTCACTCTGACACCGTTTTGTGAACAGAGAAAAAGTTCTATACACTGACCTGAGATCAGCTTCAGGGGCCCTCTTATCATCCAGTTTACCTGAAACACAGAACCACGATCAGCTGAGGGGGACATGTTCAGAGGACACATTCTAAAGAAATGCACCTTTGTCCTTCTTCTTGATCTTCTTGTGACGTGTCCCCTGTCTCAGGTAGGACAGAATCTGAGTCAGCTTGGAGATCACAATGTCGTTGGTGGTCAGCGTGGTCTGGGCCTGAAGGACAGAGACAGACAGATGGGCGGACATTCAGACTACAGAAAGCAGGTGTCTCCATGGGACAGGCGTCACCTCCATGCTGGGACAGTCAGCCTTGCTACGGATCAGCGTGGTTGGGATGTCCGTGTCGGTGAACTCGTCGTCCAGGTCCACCACGTAGGCCATCCTGCCAGGCAGGAAGAGCTCGTTCCTCTCCTGGACCCCAGACCTGAAGACCACCCTGAAGATGTTCCTACCTGAGGAGGACCAAATGTTCAGTCTGAGGAGGACCTGGTGTCCATTCTGTGTCTGCAACTCGTCCTGGACCAGGTTCTAGGTGGACTCACCCATTCGGGTTTTGAACTCGATCTTCTCCTCGGGCTCCAGGTCTTTCCTGACAAACAGAACCATCAGTTATTGATCAGTGATTAGGACCATTGGTTAATGATCAGTGATCGGGACTGGTGGTTATTGATCAGTGATCAGGACTATCAGTTATTGATCCGTGATCAGGACCATCAGTTATTCAGTGATCAGGACCATCAGTTATTGATCAGTGATCAGGACCATCGGTTATTGATCAGGACCATCAGTTATTCAGTGATCAGGACTATCAGTTATTGATCAGTGTAGGGCTGCAACAACGAATCGATAAAAATCGATGATTAAAAGCGTTGGCAACCAATTTCATTATCGATTCGTTGTGTTGCGCGATTATGCGTCTCTCACGGCGCTGCGGAGCTGTTTGGTTTTGTTCACCTGCAGTTCATTGTCAATGCTGACTGACTGAATAAAGTTTGAAAAAAAAAAACTGCAGCGTGAGTTGAACAGAGCGAGGGGGGAGGAGGCAGAGTGTTTTCAAAGGAAATTAAGTAAATTTTACAAATGACCGACGCAGAGAAAACTGTTCGACCCAAGTCCTCCAAAGAGTGGGAGAACTTCACAAAGATAAAAACTGAGAAACATGCAGCTTTGAAAAGTGACGACATGACACGAGAGAACCACGGAGATAAACGTAAACATGTGGGAGTGACGAGGAGGAGGAAGGAGCTGCAGCTGATACAACTCTTCATGTGTTGCAGGTGAGTCTCTACAATTTAACATTTGCTCTGTTTCAAGAGAGAAAACGTAACGTCAGTCTGTCTGGAAGATGAAGCTGTTTGTTTGTTTGTTTGTTTGTTTATCTGATTAATGACGGTGATAGAGAACGTGTGTTACTTTTTATTTAATTTAATTGGTACAAGCAGCGTTTAAATGTGATTAATAAATAAATCTAACACAAAGATAATAATTTAATGATTAAGCTTCAACTTTTAATTTGCTGGCAAAGTCTGAAGACACTGCAGGTATGGCAGGATGAATTGCATTTAAACAGGAATTGAAGTAATTTATTACATCTACTCAAATGTGTGTAATTATTTTATATATGTGTGTGTGTGTGTGTGTGTGTGTGTGTTTAATTGCTCTTTGAGCTACTTTTGCCTGAACTATAAGTGAAACAAGGCATTTCTTGAGTTGCTGTAAATTATGATATAAAACATATTTACTGTCTCGTTCCAGAAAACAACAACAAACAACAACATCCTTCATAATGGACAGACATCATGGACACCACAGCAGCAGCTGTCTTCACTGAAACATCCTGAACATGATCGTCACTGACATGAGGCCTCTGTCCATGGTTGAAGACGAAGGCTTCACTACAATAATCCACACTTTTAATCCAGGTTACAGTCTTCCCTAAATGACACATTTTACAAAGTAGCTACATATTGTGCAGGTATAAAGACACATTTGTATATATTTTTGTCTACTTTTATTTTTTAAAGCTATGTGACTAACTTTTATTTTTTATTATTCAATATTTTACTAACACAATAGTCAAATAGCAACCTGTTTTTTGTGTGAATTCTATGTCAGTCAAATGTTCAATTTTGGAATAAAGGGGTGGAAATTAAAACGTTGTTTGGTTTTTGTCGATTCATCGATTAATCGAAAAAATAATCGGCCGATGAATCGATTATTGAAATAATCGTTAGTTGCAGCCCTAGATCAGTGATCAAGACCATCAGTTATTGATCAGGATTATCAGTTACTGATCAGTGATCAGGACCATTGGTTATTGATCAGGACCATTGGTTATTGATCAGGACCATTGGTTATTCATTCAACCTTTTCATTCAATTCGTTATTATTGTTCGTTATTATTCGTTGTCGTTATTATTCGTTATTGATAGGACCATCAGTTACTGATCAGTCATCAGGACCATTAGTTATTGATCAGGACCATCAGTTACTGATCAGTGATCAGGACCATTAGTTATTGATCAGGACCATAAGTTATTGATGCGTGATCAAGACCATTGGTTATTGATCAGTGTTAAGGATCGCAGCAGCAAGTGGACCCAGGTCTTACTTGGTTTCCTTCTGGACCTTGTCCATCAGGTCCTCCTCCTCCTTCTCCTTGCTGGTGATCTCAGCCCTCACCTGGAAGGGACACGTGCAGGTGTTACTGGGTCAATGCGCCAACCTGAGCAGCGTGCACGCTCCCACACTGACCTTTTGCAGCAGAGCGAAGTCCAGACCCTTCACCAAGTGAGTGTGCTCCATGTCTCCTCCCAAGAACTTGGACTCCTGGATTAGCTGCCGGCGTTTCTCTGCTGCAGACTTGTCTCTGAAACAGACAGGGATTCGGATCAGAACCGTCCACAGACCCAGGTGGTCTGCTAGGAGTCGGACTCAGAGGGACTTACGCCTCGGCGGTGGGGCCAACGGCCCGGTAGTTGGCCGTGGTGCTGATCAGCTCCGTCTCTTCGTAGTCCTTGTTGACCCCGTCCCGTCTCTCCCGGGCCCGGTCCCGGTACTTCTCGGCCAGCTCTCTCTCTCGCTCCATCTCCTGCTGACGGAGTTTCGCGTAATAACTGCAGGACAAACCAGGGTCGGACATCAGTACTTGACTTGGATCAGAACCAGCTCTCCTGCCAAGGTTCAGGAGGTTCTGGTTCTAATAATTTGTTGGTCCTGGACTCTGACCTCTTCTTCTTCCTCCTCCTGGCTGCAGGGTCCTCGTCCTCGTTGTAGTCCCTCGGCATTCTGGGAAAGCAAACAAACAAATGATTTCAACACAAACACGAGAAGCCGTGCACTCCTCATGTCAACACGCACTCATGGTGTCGGGACTTGGTGGGCGGAGCCGTGGTGGGCGTGGCCCGCGGCGTCATGAGCAGCTTCCTGAAGTCATCGTTGGTCAGCTTGGACCTGAAAACAGGGCAAGAGCAGAAGTAAGCAACAACAGAAACAGCAGCAACAACAACAACAACAACAGTGTGTGGGCAACACTCACTGAGCTCCTCCTCTGTGCTCGTCCACATCGTGGCCCTCAGGTGCCAAAGGGTTGGAGTAACTCTCAGCTGGAAGACAGACAGTACTAGTTAAGAGCCACAGACAGCAGTGGGGACATGTCTTGCTTGAAGACAGCTCAAGTGGACATGTGTGAGGACTGATCTTAGATGGACGCAGGATGTAAGTGCAATCCACCCCCTGCTGACGGTGTTCGGATTATTTGCGTTATGTTAGTTTTTTATCTGGGACATAAACTCTCTGCTGGTGTATGACAGACAACAGCTTCTGGATCTTCGTTTTTCTGTCACTGAAGTCGCTTATTTGGACCAATATGAGCGTACCTCTGGACCCCCCCACCCCACCCCCGCTGGCGAACGTGCCTGTTTACCTTCGCTGCGCTCCTCACCTCCCTGCCCGGAGATATCGCTTCAGACGCCGGGGAAAACGTGCTGGACGGCTGGTAAAGCTCAAAGCCCTGCGCGTTGCATCTTCAGCTGGTGGTCATGGTTTCCATCGCCAGCTTCCCGCGTGCCCGGACCAGGTAAACAACGGGAGTTGTCGGCCGGTACACCACACGGGCCGACCTAGAGGGGCTGTTATTGAAAACCTGCGGCCACTGATGCGTGCAAACTCCACCGCTGCTAGCTCCACTTTGGACAGTATCCGGATGTGTTTGGTCAACACAAGATCTGTTACCAACAAAACTTTTATCCTCAGGGACTACTTTCAAAAGCACGAGTTGGACTTTTTCTGTATCACAGAGACTTGGATGTCTCCAGGTGAGTCCAGCGCCTTGACGGAATTACTGTCACTGAACTGTCTGTATTTTAATGCACCGCGGCCATAAGGCCGGCGCGGTGGTGGATTATTAACAATATTCAAATCAACTTTTGACTGTATACAACTGCCCATCCCAGTTTCCTGCGCCAGCTTTGAGCTGAGCGTCTTTGAACTCGGACATTCACCTCAGACGTTATTTGCACTCGTCTACCACCCACCTCGATCTAAGGATTTCATAAATGAGTTTTCTGACTTCTTGGCTGAAATCACACCAAAATATGAGCACGTTTTCATTATTGGGGACTTTAATTTGCACGTGTGCTGTCAGGAGAAGCCCTTGGTTAAGGACTTTTTAGATTTATTGGACTCATTTAATTTAACTCAGCATGTAAATGGTCCCACCCAAGAGCGCAGACATACACTGGATCTTGTTTTAACTCATGTGACTGTTAATAATCTTGTTATTGGTGATAATGTTTTCTCAGACCACATGCCAGTCCAGTTTGAGTTCACCCTCCCCCATCTAACTCCTAAGTTGTGCATTCCTGCACGTAGCACTCGGACCATTAACCACTTCACTGCCACACGTTTCACAGATGTTTATAACTCTGAAATGATCATTCAGGCCCCAGTGTTTCTCACCACCACTGAGGAGCTGACATCCCAGTTCAACTCTGTCTGCTTAAAGACTCCGGATCATGTTGCGCCTGTTAAAACTAGAAAATCAAAACTGAGAGCAGAACCTTGGCTGAGTGATGTCACCAAGGCCGTTAGGCAGCAATGTAGGAGGGCAGAATGAAAGTGGAGGAAAGACAGGCTGCAGGTCTCTTTCCAGATACTTAAAGAGAGTTGGCGCTGTTATCAGAAAACAGTGAAAGCTGCTAAATCCAAATACTTCTCTGATATAATTACCTCAAACTCTCACAACCCATGTGTCCTCTTCTCCACCCTAAACTCTGTTCTCCACCTCACTGAACCATCACCTCTGGAAGCCTCGACTGAGCTGTGCGACAACTTCCTACATTTCTTTTTGAAAAAAATTGCGACCACCAGGGCTCTCATTTCCCCTCCAACTCATGACCCATCCATCCCACCTCAATCTGTAGCTCCTTTTGACCATTTTGAACCCATCACTCTATCTTCTCTAGAGCAGGTCATTTGCAGCTTGAAACCTTCTGGTTCCACCTTTGATGTGGTCCCCCCTCGACTACTAAAGGAGGTGTTTCCAACTCTAGGTCCGTCCATTCTTGTCATAGTAAACAGCAGTTTATCCACTGGCGTGGTGCCAAAATCCTTTAAACATGCTGCTGTCCAGCCTCTCCTGAAAAAACTAAACCTTGACCCCTCAGTCGTTTCCAACTTCCGGCCTGTCTCCAAACTCCCATTTGTTTCTAAAGTATTGGAGAAAATAGTTGAGTCCCAGTTGAAGTGCTTCCTGGAGGATCACGCCATCTTAGAGTTTTTCCAATCTGGCTTTAAACCTTTCCACAGCACTGAAACTGCCCTGCTGAAGGTCTTTAACGACATCTTCAGATCCACAGATACTGGTGATTCTGTGCTGCTTGTCCTGTTGGACCTCACAGCCGCCTTTGACACCATCGACCAAACCAAATCAAACCACTGCATCGACCTCTCCGCTCTAACCCTGTCAGAAAAACAAAGAGTCACTAATCTGGGAGTGATAATGGACCCTTCCCTGAAACTTAACAGTCATATAAACATGATATTTAAATCATGTTTCTTCCAACTGAGGCGGCTGTCTAAACTGAAGCCCATATTGTCCAAAAAGAACCTGGAGACAGTAATACATGCATTCATTACATCTAGGCTTGATTACTGCAATTCACTCCTGTTTGGTATCAGTCAGACCTTCATTGCACGACTACAACTGGTCCAGAATGCAGCAGCCCCATTTTTACCCAGTACAGGCAAAAGAGAGCACATTACACCAGTTTTGGCCTCACTGCACTGGTTACCAGTTCACTTTTGAATCCAGTTCAAAATACTCATGTATGTCTACAAATCACTGAACAGTGTCGCCCCCCCCCTCTATCTGATCTGCTACAACCGTATGTCCCACCACGCTCCCTGAGGTCAGCGGACCAGTTGCTCCTCACAGTTCCAGGAACTCGTCTTAAGCGCAGAGGTGACAGGACCTTCTCTGTAGCAGGACCAAGACTTTGGAATGAGTTACCTCTGCTTGTCAGACAGGCCCCCTCCCTCTCGGTTTTCAAGTCCCGTTGAAAAACTCACTACTATTCAGTAGCTTTCAACACCAGATGATCTGTGTTTTGATCCTGTATGCTCCACACTGGTTAGTCGTCATTATCTGCATCGTTTTTATGTCTATATTCTGATTTACCTCATTTTGTATTTTGCTTTGTGTGTTACCTGTTGTTCTGTCTGTACAGCACTTTGGTTGGCCTTGTTGCTGTTTTAAGTGCTCTATAAATAAAACGGTTTGGTATTTTATCCTCAAATAGTGTCCCTATAGAGTTTGTTGATTCCTACAAATATATTTGTATCTTGGTTGATTCGCATCTCTCTCACAACACTGATGCACTTTACAGGAAGGGTCAAAGCAGACTCTACCTGCTGAGGAGACTGAGGTGTTTTGGAGTGCAGGGGGTGCTCCTGAAGACCTTCTTTGACTCGGTAGTGGCATCAGCCATCTTCTATGGTGTTGTGTGTTGGAGCAGCAGCTTATCATCAGCTGAGAAGAAGCAGCTAGATAAGATCAAGAAGACCAGCTCTGTGCTTGGACGCCCCCTCGACCCAGTGCAGGTGGTGGGAGACAGAAGGACTCCAGTAAAATAACATCATTGCTGGACAACGTCTCCACCCCATGAAGCTGCTGCTGAACTGGAGAGCTCGTTCAGTGACAGGTTCCTGCTCCTAAATGCACAAAGGAGCGTCACCGCAGGTCCTTCCTCCCAGCAGGTCCTTCGTCCCAGCAGGTCCTTCTCCCAGCAGGTCCTTCCTCCAGCAGGTCCTTCCTCCAGCAGGTCCTTCCTCCCGGCAGGTCCTTCCTCCAGCAGGTCCTTCCTCCAGCAGGTCCTTCCTCCAGCAGGTCCTTCCTCCCAGCAGGTCCTTCCTCCCAGCAGGTCCTTCCTCCAGCAGGTCCTTCCTCCCAGCAGGTCCTTCCTCCCGGCAGGTCCTTCCTCCAGCAGGTCCTTCCTCCCGCAGCTGTTAGACTCTACAACCATCACTGCTCCAACAAACTCTACAAGGATTAAATCCATGCTGACCTCTGCTCAAACACACACTCTGCCTGTAACACTGTGCTGTCAATACTCTCTCCTTATCAATGTTCCAATACATATTGAACATTATTAGTGATATTCTTTATCTTATTTCTTAATATATTGTGTTGTTTATTAACATTAACAAATGTTTTGTAAGAAGTTCAACACAAAAACAACTGGACTTTATTTATTATACTTTGATTTCTTTTTTTTTTACTTGTTTGAATTTACCATGTCCTGGATGACTGAGAATCTTCACCAGATATTAATGATAGAATCGGCTTGCCATATTTCCCCCACCTTGGCTCTGCTTGCCGCTTTTCATTCAACCTTTATTTATTTATTTATTTATTGCTTGGACCAACCATCAAACCAGCTGCACCACCCCAGCAAAATGCATTTAATCTGACCATTAAAGTGCATTTTTTAAGCAAATCGTTGGACCGAGACACACCTTTACTACAATTTAGAGCAAACAAATAATTGTTTTTAAGTGTTAATCTTGTTAAATTCTTGTTAAAGTCCTCCCGTGCACAGTCCCGCAACTGCCATTTGGCAGCCTATTGATTTTTGGCACACCACCGGTCCACATTTCTGGGCTTTCAGTAGATGCGACGTATACGGCGAAGCGACATATTTATGGATTTTTTCACTTTTTTAGACAAATATGGACTGATGCGACTTCTAGGGCGGAGCGACGTGTCCGGCAGAAAATGGGGTAGTTATTTTTGGGCAACTGCACCTGCACTTTAGTTTTTGTGGTGGATTATGTTGATCTATATTTCGAGCAGACTTTTTCAATCTAAATAACAGAAGGATCGTTTTTATTTTTTCACTTTGAGACTGAATACTAAATAATTTCAGTAAAATTAACCCTTTTTGTTTTTTTATATAATAGTGCAAAGCAACATGTTAAGTTAATTTTGTCAAATGAATAACTATGATTTCTGTTTTTTTTTTTGTTATATCACAAAATTTATCGTTATCGTCAGAATTATGAGCTGGGTACGTTTCTAAAAAAATCGGTGTCGGTTCCTGGACGGTTCTTTTTTCGGTACCAGTTTTGTAATTACTATTAATTCTAACAAGAATAAAATTACGTTACACATTACAGTACACAACTTGAGTTTTATTTTTTAACTTTGGTATTTTTCTGTTCCAAGCAGTTTTCTTACATTAAAATAAACAAATGATTTCCAGTTCAAAGACCAGTTTCAAACCAGTGACAGGTCAGGGTCTAATGGTCACTGCTTCACACTGAGGACCTTTTCACTGAACAGTTCTTCTTCAGAAACATCAACATGTCTGTTCTCTCTGGACACAAACAAGCTGCTCCTGGCTGATGGTGTCTCCAGCAGTAGAACATGTTCCCTCTGAGGCTGTAGATGATGCTTGTTGCACACACAGATACCTGGTTGTCAGTTTGACATATTGTCCCTCACATCCCACCAGCAGGTCACTGGATTCACTGAGGTTAGGGTTGATGCAGACTTCTGCACCTCTGTGTCTCTGCCTGAATCTTCTCTGTGGTTCTCTGGGGTTTAGGGCTCTGACCATCTCCCTAATTTACATTAGAACAAAACAACAACAATAACATGGTTGTGTTGTTATTTATCATAAACTAATATCTAGGCTGAGAGATACTGGTTTAAGTGGTCAACAACATCCTTTATAGCTTAACTTACCTCCACCATGCAGCCTCCACTGTAGAAAAAGCAGAAAACTTTAACCACAAAGTCTGTGACTGTTCGGTACTCAGCCCTAGTCAGAATGCTCTGAAATATCTCAATATTACATTAAAGCCATATGGCCCAGCCCTGACCCGGCTGAATAAACACCGTGTCATCATTTCAGGACTCTCAGGTTCTCTCTGGCGCTGTTCCAGGTCATGTCGGCAGGACAGTGTTTACACGTGTGACCAGAGGGAACCGACTGATTGTAGCGTTCTGATCAGACTCTACAGCCTCTGAAGTGTCCTTGACTCGATCACCGCTCGTCGTCTCCCTCCCCTGCAGAATGTCTCCGTCACTGTGTGCGGGGTGGTTTTTTCAATCTCGGGGTCTTTCTCCTCCATCAGTTTCAAAGGATTTTTTTTGCCTCCAAATCCTATACATGTGTCACTTTCATTACTTTTTGTTCGTCTAAACCGGTCTCAGTTGTAAACGAGTGTTCGAGGCTCAGTGAGTTAAAGGTAGAATGAACAAATGGTGCATAAGATTCATAACTGGCTGCAACCACCACTGCACCTGTACTCACTGGTTCAACTAACCCCAACCAGTAGAAAGAAAGGTTGAATGACCGAATGCTACGTGGTTTTCAGGGCACCACCTGGACACCCAGTGTAACCATGCTGTCAGGTTGGGGAGGGGGCAGAAAAACTACGGAGGCCGACATGGTTTTTGGGACGTTAACACCGAAGCATGATCTCTGATTTGTGTAGGAGTGTCATTACCTCCAACGTGTGAATAATGATTTGATTGTATTTAGCCTTAGCTTTAGCCAGTAGTTTCAAGAGTTCATAACATGTCTGGTTCTTCCGTGATTAGCTGCATTTGTTTAATCAGCAACAAGAAACGGCGGTCCAGTTAGCATGATGCTAACAGAGCGGACTTACGGTCAGGCATGTCAGCGGGCCGCTGCGGGTGTCCTGCGGGTGTCCTGCGGGCTGAGGGGAGTTCTGTCCCGGCAGAGCAACACTACAGCTCGATGCTTCAGATGTTTTCACCGCAGTGTTGGTTTCTGCGCAACGTTCGGTGTTAGCTCGGATCTGTTTTCGTGTTGAACTACGAAAGCAGTGCTTATGACGTCACTTCCGGAAGCAGACATTTAAACAGCAACATCTGCAGGAGGACTGAGGTACTGCATCAACAAAATTAAGGTTTAATGTAAATACATTCGTAAACTCAGAGTCCTACAGTTACAGATGTTATTTAGATTTATTTTAGAAAGTATAAAAGAAATCCAATAATTTTCAGTCAGGTCATCTGGATAGTTTCTTTTTTTTTTGTGCTGAAACGTTTCACCTTCCATCCAGAAGGCTTCATCAGTCAAAGCACACAACAAAACTGATTCTTCCCCCAAACAGCTTACTCCAAAGTGGAACAAACCAGTTCTGTTGGTGCTAAGATGGTGTCTTTGGCAGGCCCCCTCCTCTGGTGCCGGTCCTCTTCCTCGTCGACAGTCATGTCAAACTGGTTTGTTCCTCTTTGGAGTAAGATGTTTGGGGGAAGAATCAGTTTTGTGTTGTGTGTTTCCTTGACTGATGAAGCCTTCTGGATGGAAGGTGAAACGTTTCAGAAAAAAAACAAAACTGTCCAGATGACCTGACTGAAGATTGTTGGATTGTTTACCTGGATTATTGAGCATGGACTTTTTTTGGTATAAAATAAATTCTTCCCATTATTTGTTTCTCTAGCTCCATTTTATTTACTTCCTGTGTCAGGCCTACAGTACTTTTATTAAAACAATAATCCTTAAACATTTGATAGATTCTACAATAATCTGAAGATCATTTCTGTTTCACTCGTTCATTTGAAGAAGAGAGCCTGACAGACAGACTGCGGGGCAGCAGCGCCCTCTGCAGGCCAGAGGGCTCAAGGTTCCAGAGGTCCACATGGTGGTTCAGACACAACACACTGCAGCTGGGATCCTGGATCAGGGCCAGGACTCTGAGAACAGATTCAATTCAATTCGAAAACACTTTATTAATCCCAAAGGGAAATTAAACAGCTTCATGAGGAAAACTTGGTAAAGAAACTAAAAGTTAAACTGGGTTTCTTTTTCAGAAACAGATCCTGTCTAACTCTGAATCTTAGGAAGCATCTTGTATCTGTGACTTTCCTTCCCTCCATTCATTACGGTGACATTATTTACATGAACGCTCCTACAAGAACCCTGCAGATGTTGGATGCTGTCTATCATGGTACACTAAGATTCATAACCCGTTTTTAACCAGTACAGGCAAAAGAGAGCATATTATACCAGTTGTGGCCTCCCTGCACTGGCTACTGGTTCACCTCCGAATCCAGTTCAAAATACTCCTGTATGTCTATAAATCACTGAACAGCTCTGCACCCTCCTATCTCACTGATCTGCTGCAGCCATATGTCCCACCGTGTTCTCTGAGGTCAGCGGACCAGTTGCTTCTCACAGTACCAGGAACCCATCTGAAGCGCAGAGGTGACAGGGCTTTCTCTGTAGCAGGTCCAAAACTTTGGAATGAGTTGCCTCTACCTGTCAGACAGGCCCCCTCCCTCACAGTTTTTAAATCCCCGCTTAATAACCCACTACTATTCCCTGGCTTTCAACACTGTATGATCTGTGTTGATCCTGTATGTATCACACTGTGTTAGTCATTATGTTATTATCTGCTATTATTTTGTTTCTGTATTTTGATTTTAGGTTATGTTTTGTGTTGCTGTGTGCTTTACCTGTTTGTTTCTGTTTGTACAGCACTTTGGTTGGCCCTGTCGCTGTTTAAAGTGCTCTATAAATAAAATGGTATGGTATAACTGGCTGTAACTACCGTACGGTCAGTGTACCCTTCGTTCAATTGTTTTTTAATTGAGAATAAAAAAAAACCCCAACTGAACGAAGGGTACACTGACCATGTCTGATGTTATTTTTCTTATAGATATTTGTGCCAGTAGAGGAGCTGACCACACTATGTTTATGCTCTGAACTCCTCATTTACAGGTAATCAATTGTGTTATTCTTAAGTCAGTTACATTTGCAAAATGTCTGTTGGTTGTCATGACAACACAACGTGCCTGTTATATTTTCTGTGAACCACCATAGGGTGTTGTAGAACAATTTAATAATTCATTTTAACTGATGTCTGCATTCATTTTTCTAATTTCTTATTTAATTGAAAAAAATGGATGTCAGATTAAAACAGATTGTATTAGATTTACTGTAAAATATTAATGCTAAAACCACTATACAATCACATGTTAAAAAGAATATTGTTAAAAGTCATTGTAACAGATATTTAAAAATCATCACAGTCTTCCTAGCACTCTGCTGTGATATTTGTGCCAGTAGAGGAGCTGACCACGCTATGTTTATGCTCTGAACCACACATTTACAGTCAAGTGCTACCTCATCCAACCCATCGGCCTCTGAGAGGGTTTATGACAGGACGGGTTACACAACTGTTACACATTAAGTATATATATATATATATATATATATATATATATATATATATATATATATATATATCCAGTCAACCATTTTCTTCCGCTTATCCGGGGTCGGGTCGCGGGGGTAGCAGCCTAAGTAGGGAGGCCCAGACTTCCCTCTTGGTCCAGCCACTTGGTCCAGCTCCTCCGGGGGAATCCCGAAGCGTTCCCAGGCCAGCCGAGAAACATATTCCCTCCAGCGTGTCCTGGGTCTTCCTCTGGGTCTCCTCCCGGTGGGACGTGTCCGGAACACCTCACCAGGGAAGTGTCCAGGAGGCATCCTAACCAGATGCCCGAGCCACCTCAACTGGCTCCTCTCAATGTGGAGAAGCAGCGGCTCTACTCTGAGTCCCTCCCGGATGACCTAGCTTCTCACTCTATCTCTAAGGGAGAGCCCAGACACCCTGCGGAGAAAACTCATTTTGGCTGCTTGTATCAGAGATCTCGTTCTTTCGGTCACAACCCAAAACTCATGACCATAGATGAGGGTAGGAACGTAGATCGATCGGTAAATTGAGAGCTTCACCTTTTGACTCAGCTCTCTCTTCACCACGACAGACCTGTACAGCGCCCGCTTCACTGCAGACGCTGCACCTATCCGCCTATCGATCTCACGCTCCATTTTTCCCTCATTCCTGAACAAGATCCCAAGATACTTAAAACTCCTCCACTTGGGGTAAGACCTCCTCCCTGACCCGGAGAGGGCACTCTACCCTTTTCCGGCTCAACACCATGGCCTCGGATTTGGAGGAACTGATCTTCATCCCGGCCGCGTCGCATTCGGCTGCAAACCGCTCCAGCAAAAGCTGTAGATCACGATTTGATGAAGCCAATATGACCACATCATCTTCAAAAAGCCAAGACACAATCCTAAGGCCACAAAAATGGATCCCCTCAACACCTTGGCTGCGCCTAGAAATTCTGCCCATAAAAGTTATGAACAGAATCGGTGACAAAGGGCAACCTTGGCGGAGTCCAACTCTCACCGGGAACAAGCCCGACTTACTGCCAGCGATGCGGACCAGGCTCTGACACCGGTCATACAGGGACCTAACAGCACGTATCAAAGGGCCCGGTACCCCATACTCCCAGAGTACCTCCCACAGGGTTCCCTGAGGGACGCGGTCGAACGCCTTCTCCAAGTCCACAAAGCACATGTAGACCGGTTGGGCAAACTCCCACGCACCCTCCAGGACCCTGCTGAGAGTGTAGAGCTGGTCCAGTGTTCCACGGCCAGGACGAAAACCGCACTGCTCCTCCTGAATCTGAGGTTCGACTATCCGACGGAACCTCCTCTCCAGAACCCCTGAATAGACCTTACCAGGGAGGCTTAAGAGCGTGATCCCCCTGTAGTTGGAACACACTCTACGGTCCCCCTTTTTGAATAGGGGGACCACCACCCCGGTCTGCCAATCCATGGGAACTTTCCCCGATGTCCACGCAATATTGCAGAGTTGTGTAAGCCAACACAACCCTACAACATCCAGAGCCTTAAGGAACTCCGGGCGAATCTCATCCACTCCTGGGGCCCTGCCACCGAGGAGCTTTTTAACCAACTTGGTGACCTCAGCACCAGAGATTGGAGAGCCCGACCCAAAGTCCCCAGGCTCTGATTCCTCAGTGGAAGATGTGCCGGTGGGATTGAGGAGGTCTTCGAAGTATTCTGTCCACCGACCCACGACATCCCGAGTTGAGGTCAGCAGCACACCACTCCAACTATAAACAGTGTTGGTGGTGTACCGCTTTCCACCCTGAGACGTCGGATGGTGGACCAGAATCACCTCGAAGCCGTACGGAAGTCATTCTCCATGGCCTCTCCAAACTCCTCCCACGCCCGAGTTTTTGCCTCAGCGACCACCCAAGCCGCATGTCGCTTGGACTGCCGGTACCCATCAGCTGCTTCTGGGGTCCCACAGGCCAAAAAGGCCTGATAGGACTCCTTCTTCAGCCTGACAGCATCCCTCACCGACGGTGTCCACCACCGGGTTCGAGGGTTACTGCCGCGACAGGCACCGACAACCTTGCGGTCACAGCTCCGATAAGCCGTCTTGACAATAGAGGCGCGGAACATGACCCACTCGGACTCAATGTCCCCCACCTCCCCCGGAACGTGTTCGAAGCTCTCCCGGAGATGGGAGTTAAAGCTCCGTCTCACAGGAGACTCTGCCAGATGTTCCCAGCAGACCATCACAATATGTTTGGGTCTGCCAGGTCTGATCGCCATCCTCCCCCACCATCGGAGCCAACTCACCACCAGGTAGTGATCAGGGGACAGCTCCGCTCCTCCGCCCCCTCTCTTAACCCGAGTGTCCAAGACATGTGGCCACAGATCAGCCACAGATCTTGTCCTATTGCTAATGATTCTACATCAGTGCAGCTCCTCCCCCTTTCTTATTATTTCTGTGTACATTATACAAATTATATGCGTCCATTTGTAATTTGGTCCTGTCATCATCCTTAACTCAAGTTTCTGAAACAATAATACTGAACTTCTCACTTTTATTAATCAGCTTCAAATAAACTTTAATCTTTGATAAATTGGCAGAGAAGCTTCGACTGTTGAAGTGAATAACAGACAACACCCCATCAATGTTAATATTGTTTTTAAATGTTTCATCTGTGTAATAATCACAATCTGTTTACAAAAAAAGAAGCTGTTTCTGTGTCGTTGTCTAACTCCTATATTTCACAATCTGAGTCCATCACCATGTCCGTATTCAGGAAACCTTTTCCTCACATCCATCAATCCTGGTTCACTGATTTCCACCAAACAGCTGAAGCTTCTTTTCCTCTCTCATCATTTTGGCAGGTCATACCTCTTTTTCCTTTATCCATACAAATTCATCTCTAGTCCAAGTTGCAAATATTTTTTTCTGTTTTCTGAGCATCCTGGCTGCTCGCGCATCGTCCCCATTTCTTTTTGTTAAACGTTCATTTATGTACACACTGATTCTTTGAGTTTCTCCAAGTTATTTCTGTATTTTCTGCTTATGAACCTTACAACAACTACAGGATGTGCCTTCTCTTTAACTTAGGAATGTGTGACGATATGGAGTTTCTGTCTTTACGTTGAAGACGTTCACCTCTTGTTGTGGACCATCCTCGGTGCAATCTTCATTTGCAGCATCTCTTGCATAAGATCGATGTCGAGGTTCACGACGTCCTCTTCTATTGCTCCATGTCGTCCACTTGTTGCTCCAGCTTGGCTATTTTTAGTTTTTGTCTTTTCCAGTCAGAATAGCTTTTAGGGTGCATTCACAGCAGCCCTGTTTAGTCGCTTTAATCGAATTCCAGCTCGTTTTCCTAGGAAGTCCGGTTCGTTTGGGGAGGTGTGAACGCGCCATCGAACTCTGGCCCGGGCTAAAACCTAGGTCTGGGTCCGGTAGAAGAGAACTCCAGCGCGGTTCCAGTACAGTGTGAATGTAAACAGACCGGCCCCGCTCCGCAGGACAAACAAACACACATTTCTCTTATATGGAGCCGTCAGCTGCCTTGTGTGGAAAACAATATTCTCCATGGTCTTCTGTCTCATCTTCTGCTCATGCTGAGTCCATTGTTGAAAAATGACTAAATATAACTCCTAAAACTGATAAAACTTGATGCCACTTCGTTTTTATTTTTATTTACAGAAGAAGAAGAAGACGTGTCTTCAGAGGTTTTTGTGTCGTTTCTTTCAGTAGTTCTTGGTGCAGCGCCCCCACAGGCGAGCGGGGGAACAGGTTGGTTCAACAGGTTGGTTCAACAGGTTGGTTCAACAAGTTGGTTCAACAGGTTGCTTCAACAGGTTGGTTCAACAGGTTGGTTCAACAGGTTGGTTCAACAAGTTGGTTCAACAGGTTGGTTCAACAGGTTGGTTCAACAGGTTGGTTCAACAGGTTGGTTCAACAGGTTGGTTCAA